GCTCGGCAAAACCTGAAGGGTTCATATTAATCGTTTGGCGACCTCCGGCTCACGACTACTCCCAACATGTTTGCTACCGATTCAATATGCCGTTCAATCTGGTGGGGGTGTATATTAGGTCCAGTGAAATGTCGCTGAGCCCTAGCCAAATTCAGCAGTCGGGTAACTGGACATCGAACAAATCATCGACCCCTGTCAAAGTCAAGGATAACCAGCGCACATCAGTTAATCGTACGCCATGGATTAGCCCATGCGGTGATGGCCACAAATTCACTTGTACCTACTTTAACTAATATGTCTCTGTAATAACGTCCTTTTTGTTGTACGGTCCTCAAAGCATCCATAGTACCTTAATGCGGCGAGGGGTAATTCAAGTTAAGTGTTGACCGTGAGCTGTGACTTCGACGTTAGCTGTTGGTCATACCATTCCCGTCTAATTCGAGTAGGACACCAGTCATTCGACATGGATTATCAACGTTGATGGTCTATACAAGTAATTCATAAGACTGCTTTAAATTCACAAAAATCATCTATCATATCAAACCGTTTCTGTGGTATGCACGAGGTTACTAAGTGTTGGATATTTTATCGAGCTTCATAAGGATTACGATAGATTTGCTCAGGTGGTTGGCGCATCATGTGCAGGCCCATAAACCAGTGGTCTCAATGCTAACATTTTTTATCTTCTCTTCTTCATACATGGTGTTGTTACAGCGAGATCGCATGTGGTTTCCATAGTCATCAACAAAGCTGATTCACTCAGCAATCACAACAGAAAAACCAAGTCAACTATCAACTTCGAGATGTGATTCCGAAGAAAACTGAGTGAAAATGGAGTTGCATGTTTTGTGTGTACCTTAAATAAAGCTAATGTCCATGTGGATCACTTAGGTGTCTCACTAGGTCGCAATATATTCACCAAGCTGTCATTCTATAATCTTCATGATATAAAGAACGTTTTCAAAACCTATTGACCATATCAATTCGTGCCTATCAATCAGCGATCAAGATAATCCATGAAAGAATCAAGGCCTCTTTATGAGCCTGTTTGACTACTGAAGGATATCATACTGAAAAAAGAGATGACTGTCCAATGCTTACATTTTCAAAGGTTCCCTAACAAAATTGGTTAGAGATTTTCAAAAATTATAATCTCAATAAACCGTGCTGGCAAATTTGGTTCTTTCTAAAGTTCAAAAATGCGGATAGTATGAAAGTAGGACAAATACTGACATTCACAGAGAAACACAGACGTTGGAGTCACTTTTCTAGTTCGCGAGGCGAGGCACAGATCCATAACAAATAAACAACTAGGCTGTGTCCAGTTAAACCAATGAGGTTAGCGTCAATGTCGAAGATTTAGTGAACGATTTATTTTAGGAATTTACGTACCTCTACCACTCAAAAATCAACATTACGAGTAAGAGCACTCTTGTTTTCAGAGCCCACTCTTAGAAGTATTAAAATAACAGTATTTGCTTTAACATTTAAAAGCATTATGATAAGACACGGACACCACTCTGTATTTCCAATTACCATCGACGGCATTAGAGTCTCTCAGCAAACTTGTGTCCCTCAGCGCAGGCTCCCTAAATACAACTACGGCCGCCAAAAATTCTGTAGAAGACTAAACTCCACCAACAGAGTTAAAAAGGATCTAGTGTCACCGACAAAAATGCATGTCTTGTAGTGAAATCAGCTAGGGATTTGGCTGTACAATCTTCCCTTGCGATTGTCCAACCAGTCATCAAGGAGCACGAGAATCTGAACACACTTCATATGCAAAGCAAAAAGGACCCCAACCTCAACGTTCACATGAACCCGGAAAAACGATCATGGTTCGCGGTGATTCTCTCATAATCATAAACCTTGGAAACAGCTCTGATCTTCTCTTCAGTTTGTGGAACAAAAATGACAGAATGCTTTGGGAAGAGTTGAAGAGGAAGCTCAAACTTCCCTAAATCGAGTCACTAATAGTTACACGTCTCACTTGGGGGAAAGGCTCCAAGGACTCTGAAACCACCCAATACTCTTTCGCGTAACGTTCACCAACACTGCCGATGTAGAAGATACTCTGCTGGTTAGTCAGCTGATGAAGTCAGAAGGTAATGTAAGAATACTGCCTGATATACCATATTCTGAGCGCAATCTCATCAGGAACGTCTCTAAGGAATCTCGTAAGACGTTCTTTCATTGAAGAAATATCATGTGTGTAAAATGTCCGACGCAAACTCTGATAGTTTGGAATGAAAATTCATAAAGGAGTTCTTGGAGCTCAAGAACATATTAACTCAACAAGTGGTGCGACTAGCCAAGAAAGAAGAATATTCTACATACTGGCTAGTGAAGATAACCGGAGCATTTCGTGTCAACAGACGCCGGTCACTAACTGGAATCCACATGCAGCCGGATGGCTGTATTATGCAAAGATCAAGTAAGATAACGATTTGGGGCTGACTGTTCCACTTGTGGACTTTTAAGATCATAAAGAAAATGTAAAAGAGGCAGTGCTAGCAGCTTGGAAAGCTCTTTGTAGGTAGGTTACTTGTTCATTCACAGAAGAATCAATCAGATAAACAGGACGAGGAAGCTCACGTGTTTCAAATTGAAACCATAAACTGAACACTGAGAGTTTACCGAATAAAATGATTGAGTTGTGTGAACTCAATGATGCTAGTAACACTCATCTGATAAGAACGTCTGAAACATGCATATTTCAAAAATTAGACCAGGGGCTAGAAATACCAGACAGGTCTTTTTTCAGTGACAAAAAAGCAGGAATAGGAGATAGAGCAACTATTTACATGCGATCTTACTTGGTAGACATCAAGTGTACGCTCAAGAGTTAATAAGTCCGAATAAATCTGTATGTTGCTCACCAAGGTTGTCTAACAACTCGAGTCGTCAAGCTGGAGTCATCTATAGGAAGCTCACTGCGGATATCGAGTTTGCTAATCGTACGCCTGAAGGATTATACCGTTATACTCGTCTAGGATGCACTCATATCCTGATTCTAGGAGACTTCAATCTTTTCAGAGCCAACTTCGCTGAACATATGTACACTGAAGGTGACAACCCTACTGAGGCTCGTTCTTCAACCTTATTGAAGATCTGGAATTAGTTCAAAATGTCAAGTTAGCAACTCCTTGGAGAGATAATCAAACGCCGCCGCTCTTAGTCTGAGTATCTACAAACGAAAAATTACTGATTTCAACCTCTACAGTTATCAAGAATCGTACTCTTCATTTGCTAAATTGTAAAACACACTACCGGGTGGGATACAAACGAACTGGTAAAAAAAGCACCTACAGGTAATTCAAACAAGCAAACCCAAAGCACAAAGGCAATAAGAGAAAACAGGCTTCGGTACCACATAAGGCTTGTCGGTCAGTTTGTCTCGAATCTGGAGGACTTATTCTGTCACGCAGCCTTTCTTAGACAAACCGGATCCGGAGTTTCCAAACTGCTTGGTCCTAGTGGCCCAACCAACAACGACATTGATGATGCTGACCTTCTAGTGGGACAGTGCTTTCGAACATTTCGACCGACCCATACTAACTAAATCGATGAGAGTTTCACTTGCAACTCAACTGGACTCTCATAAGTGAACCTGAGCGCTGACTTAGCGTATCGGAAACTGCAGAACCCAAACAAGAACACTTATCCTGACCTGGATATGATCCATTCTGCCATACTGAAGGAAGTAGTTTCAGTCTTGACAACGCCGCAACACCTGGTGGGGTCCTTCAGGGTTCAGTACTAGGACCTCTTCCTTCCTTAATTTATAGAAACGATCCCCCACAACGGGTATTGTAAGATTTATTACTTTGTAGCGGTGTGTTTTTACGCACATACGAGTGTATTTTCGACATGCACTTACATTTTCTTTTTTCTTTTCCAGGACGGCTGGAAAAGAACGATGACGTTTATGAGGATCCGAAATTTTCATTGTACATTTTCTTTTTTTACTATGTTGTACCTCGGTCCCATATAGTAAGGAAAGACGACCAGACGCTGCTAAATTTAGTAAGCTATCAGAAGAGTGTTTACCAACGACAAACTCGTTGGGTTTAAACTTCTGGCCGGCCACGTCTTAGGGTCGTCACTGCCCCACTAGGGGGGGAGTGATCTGTAGCGGTAAATTAACCCCCAAAATAAATAGCACTAAGTTTTCGACATTGGATGCTGACCATATGTTTTAGTGGACTCATCTAGCTGAAGGCGCTCGGTCAGGCATCCGCACCAGATCACGTGTGGTAACGCCGTGCTCAACATCAACCGCAATCGCTAGCTAGATTAGGTCAGAGAATTCCGATATATTGGTCATCGCCAAATATACTCTTCCGATCTCCTCGACTCTGTCTTTTGATTTCTCTTGGTGGGAACGAAACATATTAGAAGGTGTTACTGGTAGAAGCGTTGTGAAACACTGAATACCTGTGATATCATCAGCTTTTTTGCTGATGATGTGGAACTCTGGAGAGAAGTTTGCAATCACAGGTGTTAACTGGTACTTCAGGAGGACCAGACACGACTTCAAGGTTGGACAGACAAAAACGTACTTAAATTTAATGCTTCAAAGTGTAAAGTACTTCATTTGAGACAAGTTACAGACTGCGAATACAGCTCAGGAAACTCACCGCTAGGGATATCCCAAGTTGAAAGAGATCTAGAAGTGCTTGTACCCTGTGAAGTCTTTTGCGACAGAAATGACTTCCGAGCAAACCTTGCACTGGTAACGTCAAAGTGCATTTTTCGACTGTTCGGCTAGGTCTTCAACAGTTTTATTGGACCTCCCTCACCCCAAACCGACAGGGATACACTGGGATGTATCCAAATTCGAACCACGAAATCATTTGAGGACTCAAATTCAAGTCCTATGAAGAGCTCCTACAATTTAAAGTTTTAAATGATGAAAGATTGCATAGAGTTATGCGAGGCTAACTTGATACTTTGACTTGACCTTGTAGGTCAAATGTAGTATAAGCGTCTTGGTTGTTATGGATCTAATAGAGACAAATAACTTTTTTATAATCGTCAACGGAAGTCAAGCATTATATTGTGATCGCCTTGTTGGGAAGCTTACTATAAGACACGGTAAGTACAGTTAGATGAAGCTATAGCATATCACTTAAATAATGTCACGCATCATTAAATGAATATATTCATTTCCACACGTATACGTGTGGAAGATTGCTATAGTTGAACATTTAATGCTCCTTATTACAGTAATTTGCTTTTTATTGCTACTAGTTTGTGATCAGGCTTACGGTTGCTTTAAAGCAGGAATTCCTGTACAAATGAAATGTATAGGAGTCCCTCCCAGTTCTATAACGTTCTAGGGTTGGGGGAATTTTATCCACATTGATCACTTCATGACTGCTAATGACCATATAAATTCAATTCGTGATATGCAACTCACTTATCAGTTTCAGTTTGGAAAGAACAGGAGGCTTGATGGCCTGTGTTAGTCCTGGCAATGATGGTGTCTCAGTTAACCTAACTTTCTTTTGAAAATGTTAACAGATGAAGTTTCATTCACATGTTGTGGTAATGAATCCCACTTGTTGATGATTCGATGGGAAGTTGATAGTCAACTGACAATTTGTTCTCGGCTTGTGGACATTTTTGAAATGTCCTCGTAAATTCTCTGTTTTGAAAGACAAAAATAGTGTATATCCGGTGCACATTTATCACTAACTAATTTAAGAGCTAATTATCTTAAAAATTAACATTAGTGTGCCCAGTTAATCACTGTTTCACCTCACATAGTGATTGTTGAACGTTTGATGAAAATCTGTAGTTTCTGTCTTTGTAAATGATTATTCAAATTTTCGTGTGAATTAAATTCGTTAAACTTTCTATAATCATGATTACTTCGAAAAACGAAGAACTAAAGAAAGCTGGAAAATCACGTGCATGGACTAGGCTTCAAATATAACCGCACATGCATAGGCTTACGTACAATGCTTTAACCAACATTGAGCACTAGTAGTACTGTGGCGTGGGTTACTTATATCCACACAAGTAGTATATAACGGTGGTCAGTCATAGAATGTATTTCAGTGGAAGATCGAGAGGGAAATAATGGGAACGAAACACAATTGGTATGAAAATGCATGAACAATGAAATCTGCGACAACGGACTGATATTTGCAAAAGGAACAATGAAGTTTGAGATGATGGATTGATATTTTGCAAATTAACTACTTGCTCTATGGTTCTCAGGTTTTAGTGAGATGCTCTGTAATTTCGTGTCAAATACATTCGATTGTCCTCACTCGTGTTCTTGTTCACTATAGTACTACCTGGCTGACCAGACCATAAGTGTTAATGCGTTCCAATTTGTGACTTAATAGTTGAAACTTGGGTGTTTTAACCACTAAGCCACTTTCTTTTGTATATGTCTGACACGAAGTGTTACAATGAACGGTTTGTTCTTGAAGTAGAAATGAAGTGTGTATTACTTTAACTAGTTTGAGCGGGCTAGTGAGATGCTTCGACGTATGACTGAGCTTGGAATCAAATAGTTCTTGAAACATGGGTAGCAATAAGTTTCATACAAGTGTAAATGATCATTCGTTCTAACCTTCGTTCACCTAATCTATTGTAAACACAAACGAATCAATTTGGAACCGAGAAAACCCTATATAAAACTATACCAACTTAGTGTTTATTTTTAGATAGGTAATTTGCAGTACCTACAATTAGCTACATAAAATGAAACACCATTTACGTTGTCAAAATAAAAGATTCCCTCTCTATAGTTATGTTTTTTTTATTTGGATGAATAGCTTCTATTTGCAGGTTTCGAAAATGTTTATCCAACAATTCTATTCATTGTGTGCTTGATGAATAATCACAGTAATAAATGAAATTTTTTTGGTTTATATATTCAATAATTTAGTTTAATAAGAAAGCTATCAGGATGTTTATTTCTCTCATTTAAAAAAATTATAACATATTTTCCAGCATCTGACGTATTTAACGAATGGAATCCTGTTTGCTTGGGGAAAATTGACGGCGTCATCGGAAAAATCCGTTATCATTCAGGTAAGTAAATTCTATGAGTAAAAATCATTGTAAACAATACCAAGTAAGAATTTAATTATACAAAAGTAAAAGTTTACATATTTGGCTTTAAACCATATTTTGTACAAGGTGATAATGGTTGTTTAGATAGAAAACTAAGGATTAACAGTCGTTGGGGTTTACCGATCCTTTTTGGGAGTGGTGGTGTAGTTAATTAAATAAATTTATAGGTTTAAAAATATCAAATTTTATCTTATAATGATCTGTGATAGTTTTTTAAAGTCTAACCCAGTCGCTTGTGTTATATTTTGTTCATAATATAAGGACAAAATGTTCACAATGTACCTTGCAAAACAGCCTTAATGATCGAGAATCGATGGCTTTTAGTCGATTGATATGTCACTTGATTCTTACTGTATTCCATTCCTAGTCAGCAGTAGAATTATACACACACTAGTAAAAGGTAACTCTGTTTAAAGTAAAACTAAATCTTAGTCATTAAACCCGAGTATTATCGTAGTTGCTGAATAAGTATTCATCCTGGAAATAGTTCTCATTGAAAATTAAGAAGTATTGTGCAGCTGTTCAGCCTAGTTCAAAGATCCTTAGACTTTCACACTCACTAGCCTACACGGCATCAAACCACTAATATTGGCGTTTTTAGCGACCATTATAATAACAAGTCAGTGACTCGAAATCAAATATTTCAAATATTTCACTTCTATCCTATTCATCACAGTTACCTAGTACTAAGTAGTTCCAAATGAGGACGAAACTTCTGTTCAGTGGTTCTCCAGTTGGTAACAGGGTGTACTGAGAACGAATTCCAAGCTAATTAAATACAGAATTAAAAATCCAATTCACGGCATTCCTCAGTCGTCGTCAATGTAGAGCTCGGTGAAAGTGTGCGTTGACCCTATTTGATATACTATATTCGTCCTAACAGTTATTCGGCTTCGCAGAGCTTACTTTATATCATCCTAATAATCATTTTGGCCATTTTTCGTCTGTAAATCTAAATCCTACTTTCATCTCTTTTTTATCCCTCACTTTCATTCATTCCTGTCATATTTTCAGTTTTAGTCACAACTACTAATACTAATGTTTAAGCTCTTTAGCTATTGATCGTATTAACTCGCTTTTGTTGTCCGGATGTGCAAACATAAGGGGGTCAGCAACCTTGAACTGATACACGGACCAATACTGGATGGAATATAATATCTGTATAGAATTTAAATTAGGGCCTCAAAATAGCAACTAGTTTTAGCTGTTAATCAAAATAAAAGTTTAATTTATACCTTAGGTTGATTGACTGATTGGTTTGCTATTATAGTAGATTTTATTGATGTTATTATATTTTACAACGTAAAATCCACTTTTTCTCTTTTAAAAACAGTAATTAAATAACATGCGATCAAAATTTACCTACACACACAACATGTGCTTTATCAAATATATAGTATTTACATTGTATAAACATGTGATCCCCACTAAAAAGGTCTAACATTCATTATAAATATGCTGTAAGTAGTTTGAATTTTTGTGACTTTGAGTAGTTTCTCACAAGCTAAGTAACCTAATACAGTGTGACTTGTTGTAAGTATTATTGTGATGACCTTTTGTACCCTCGACTCGCCTTAAACACAAATATGCGGAAGTATTCCTAAGCTTTCCAAACGATATTTTCTTCCTGTTTTTCTTTCTAAATTTACAACAAAGTTGCTGATTTCGGTAAATTTACGAACTCGTAAACAGCGTCCATTGGTAAAATGACTTCCGTAAACCAAGGAACATGTAACAATCGGTTTCGTTTAGCTTGAAGAGCTTTACTTTTATGTAATATGAACTAGGTTATTTCCCAATACTCTACTCGAGTCGCCCAAAAAGGACTTTAATGATCCTTTTTTGAATGTTTAGACGGAACACTTATAGTTGAATTAAGAGACATAAAATTCACATCGTGAATGGCTGATTCCAGCTAATACCCCGAAAAAGTAGAAATATTTATGTTTTCCTCATGTATAGTGGTTGATTGGAGCGAGGAATTAACAGTTGACCTTGTTTAGTCTTCTCAGTTGTTTGCAGGCTGGATTAAGATTTACTTAAGAGCATAATAAAGCGTTTGGTTGAAGAGAATTAAGTTGTGTTTACTTGTAGGTTTCCATGCATAGACCGGGATCATTGACACATAAATTGTCCAAATGTGCTTTTTTGGGGTCCAGCATTATTTAAATTAGTTTATAGTCTCCCATTGTTGATGTTTATGACCGAATTTAATCATTCATTGCTAATATATTAACGGTATACGTCGAAATATTGCTAGTACTTACAAGGTTTTATTAGGCTCCTTCACTAGCATATGGCCCAAAAACATGTAACTCACTATTCTGTTATTATCTGCTAATCTTTATATTTTACAGATAGCGATTGGAGATTATTCTTAATTAGCGCAAGTAAATCTGTTGGTATATTACCTGATGGCTTGGAAGTACGTCGAATTAGTCGTGTAACAGTATTAGTCTTGAACACTACTCCACTTGGTGACCTTAATTTAAATGTAAGTATCCCTGATATTACTGTGTCAGTTAGTGAATGGTAATACATTTTTCCCCTACCTTGTCTGTTTTGTTGTTATTTGATACGGTTTATGATAGTTTTCAAGATGTGAAATAAAGACTATTACACCTTAGGGTTTCTCAGGAGCATATAGCTTTTATTCCTTTGAAAACCGAATTGAAATTAACACTTTCAAACTCTATGATAAGAATGTTATTCTTTTAATCACTTAGGTTTATCCAGATGGCCGATGATTTCAAAATTAGTCAGTGTCAATTATTTTTGGATAGATTATGTTTTAATAACATTAAAAGGGGTATTTAAACATCTGAAGTTTTATCTTCTCACTGGAACTCTGGAAGTGTGTTTGACTTCTTAGTAGGGAGTAGTTTGGGCAATAATTATGACAGATAGCCATATCTCACGTTTCCAAACAGACAAGTGACTATGATAACAAAGTGATCATACCGTCTGAAGAAGAAGTACTTAATATGTCATGTTAGTGTTTCGTAAAGTAAGCTGAGAAGGAATAGAACTGAGAAGATAAAAGTTGTAATTAGGGTCGGCATAGCATGGAGATATAAAGTAGACAGTCTAAGTGAGTATATATTCTAATCGACTATATGAGAAAGAATAAAACTAGTCCTATTCCATCCGAAGGGTGCTTAGGTTTACAGACATTTCGTATCCTGGAGTGTATCCTATGTACTGTAAACTAAAATATGGGATAAAAGTATATTTGTTGTTGGTCAATTTTATTAAGGCTAAATAATCAAATTTTAAGAAGTAAACAACCTTTGGGTTATTTTCTTGCGTAAATTGTGTACACAGATTTATCTTTCTACTTTTTTGTACGTTTAGTGTGCATATATGTGATTGTCGTTTTCTCGAGCTTGTTTCGATAGCTCAGTTTCATCATGAACTGACATCCACTGCATAACCATTGAAAATCAAAAAAATTATGGGCATTTGTTCCATCCTAGTCTAGCATTCCTCACTAGTTCGCAACCCTGCCAAATAAATTACTAAAACGTGTGTTGTTGAATCTGATACCTTTAGACTATAGTCTAAAACCATTTATTCTTGTCTTTAACTGTAGTCAAGGAGTATTTACATACTGAGATTTTCTCGTCATTTGATTGACATTCTAAGGTTGCTTGCTAAAATAATCGTATACTTAGTAGTGACATAGCTAGAAGTCGATGACAGTGGCTCAAATGAACTAACTTTCTCTCCTCGTTCAATTCTTAAACATTATGTTGTCATATATTTATTTGTTTCCATAGCAATCATATGTAAAATTTCATTTTCTCTATTATTCCAAAGTGCGACATCCTATTTTTCTAACATTATTGACTGATGTATGCTTTGTTTAATTTTTAAGAAAAACGATTAACAGTGCATTTTTATGTTCCTGTAATGAGCTAAGTCAAAAAGATTTGATCATCTCTGTATATAACTTTGTCTGTAAAGCATGTAACTCAATTTGATTGGCCGATATTCAACGTTTATTAAATTACATTACAGTATAATTTATCCTCCAGTTTGACGTTTGTTACTATTGGTAGTGTACATTTGTTTGGCGACACTATAATTTATGGACGAACCAATCAGATTTAGGATAACAGGTCTTGAATTTCGGCGCAAAATCCACCCATTTGGTTAAATAGAGTTTTGGCATTATAACTGATGTCAGTTAGTCTTGAAAACCCTACATCTGATTCATAATCCTAACCATCAACTGTAAATATTAATTTCACAGATTGTAATCATGAGTCGATTGAAGCTAGACCACCATGGAAAACCTGGGAGCACTGGACGCCGCTTCGTCCTAGTATGGGACTCCTCAGCAGTGCGCATCCAAGATCCCGCACCACGCGGGGCTCGAACCCAGGGCCTACTGGCCCCGTGCGCGAGAACTTAACCACTATACCACTGAGCCGGCATCCAACGGTGTTAATGTCTAACTTCAACCAATCCACGAAGTTGCGCCACCGTACACCATTGTCTTCAGTGAGTTACTATCTCACAAAACCCATTCTGATAATAATCAACTGCTCACTAGTGACTGACTTCAGGAAAAACTCCTGGAGTTCTAGTGAGAAGCCGTTACCAGTGGAGTTCAACCAGGTCTGTTGTGAGATAGTAACTCACTGAAGACAATGGTGTACGGTGGCGCAACTTCGTGGATTGGTTGAAGTTAGACATTAACACCGTTGGATGCCGGCTCAGTGGTCTAGTGGTTAAGTTCTCGCGCACGAAGCCAGCAAGCCCTGGGTTCGAGCCCCGCGTGGTGCGGGATCTTGGATGCGCACTGCTGAGGAGTCCCATACTAGGACGAAGCGGCCGTCCAGTGCTCCAGGTTTTCCATGGTGGTCTAGCTTCAATCGACTCATGATTTCAACCTGTGAAATTTCTAAAACTCTCCACAAAACCCATTCTGGTAAATATTAATCCTAATTCCTCACGCTCGTTTATAACCTTCATTTAGCCGTAGTATGTAGGTAGACATTCTCAGGGTCTCCTTGGCGTCGCTCGAAGGTCGTCCATAAATTATAGTCACCCATTTGTTTAACTTAAAAAGTTGAGTTATATAATTTCTTTCTAAAAGTAAAATTGGCAAAATATAATTATAATTAATTAAACATGTGTTTGTTCTACATTGCTTTAGTTATCCCCTCAAAATCCCATCTTCGTTGTCTAAAGATATCGTACTCTATCCCGTTTGCAATCGCAGTTACTCAATATTGAGGAGTTTCAGACTATCCAGTGTCCTATAATTTTTAGCGATTTTTAAACTGTCTTTAATTTGAATTACTTTCCATGGTAAACCATTCAACTATAATTCGTCTTTAATTTGCACAGTTTAAAATATGTAACCATAATTAATACTTTATAGTCACTAATGCACAATACATAGAATTATACAGCCATAAAAGAATAATATGTTGAAACAAGAAATCATTAAACTTGAGCGCTAATTCAGTCACCATGGCAACATCAAATATTATACCGAACCATTTTGGTGAATAATTTATCAATATCGATATTTTATCTTGTTAGCTTTTATTTAAGGGATGATCTTTTTTAGAATTTCAATACAGTTAGATGCATTTGATTAAGTGTTAAGTCAGGCTATTTCTAAAAACTACTTTGTCAATTTATACTAAAATATGTTTTCAAGAAATTAGGTTTCTTTGAATAAATTCAAATTCATCAAATCCATCAAAGCAGTTAAATGAATAAGAACTTATTCATAAATTCATAATGGGAAGGTTGTTGTAAGCGTAGCATCATACCACTGCTTTATTTTAAATACTTTACGCATTATTTGATCAAATTTAATGTATATTCAATAAATCTATTTCTCATTACAAGATTTATAAGCCACTTGTTTAAATTCCAACATTTCTTTGGGCTATTCTATCTAGTTTTGGGAGCAAATAAGTACAATTCTGTACTATAGAATTTTGAGCAGAATATCATTTAATTGGAAGTATGACATTGTAGAAAGTCTTCTAGGGTTACTGCCGGTCCTAAGTTTGAATAAAGGAGGGTAACAATCCCCATCCCATAGAAAAAAAACCTGGTGAAAAATTGCTAGCTATCAAAAACAATTTTAACCATTTAAACTCTACTTTCGGAGTTGAAGGATCTTCAATTAATAGATTTATGAAGCCTCACGATGGAAGTAAAGATTCTTCGGAAATCATGAGGCCGATGCCGCTTCTGACAACCAGAACAACGATTAACATAGGTACATGGAACGTCCGTACAACGTGGGAAACTAGAAGGACCATTCAGATGGCTGCAGAAATAAGAAGATAAAACCTAATTGTGCTTGGAATAAGTGAAACCCATTGGATACAAACTGGGCAGAAAAGATTAGCCTCTAGAGATCTTCTGTTGTACTCTTGCAATGAAGAAGAGTGTTGTTGAACCTAATGAAAGATTCGGTAGAAGCCGAACTTCGAAATCAACAGGCTCGGTCACCTATTAATCAAGTCGCGACATTACGAATCATTGTTGAACAATCAAATGAATGGAACTCGTCACTATACATCAACTTACTTGACTATGAGAAGGGGTTTGACAGTGTGGATAGAAGAACCTTATGGAAATCTCTTCGACACTACGGTGTACCTGAGAAAATCGTCAACATCATCCGGAATTCATACGATGGACTGCAAAGTCGTTCATGAAGATTAGCCTACAAATTCATTCCAATTGAGGACCGGTATCAGACAAGGCTACTTACTCTCTCCCTTTCCTCCTTCTGGTGGTTGACTGGATTATGAAGACCTCGACATCTGAGGGAAAGCGTGCAATACAATGGACAGCTTGGATGCAACTGGACGATTTAGAATTCTCAGATGGCTTAGCTCTCCTATCCTATACACAGCAAGAAATGGAGGTCAAGACAAACAATGTAGCAGCAGCCTCTGCATCAGTAGGCCTCAACATACACAAAGGAAAAAGCAAGACCCTCGAATACAACACAGAGAGCACCAACCCAATCACACTTGATAGAGAAGCTGTGGAAACTTTCACGTACCTGGACAGAATCATCGATGAACATGGAAGATCTGATGCAAATGTGAAGGCACAAATTTGCAAAGCAAGGGTAGCATTCTTACAGTTGAAGAACATATGAAACTCAAAGCAACTGTCAGCCAACATCAAAGTCAGAATTTTCAATACAAACGTCAAGACAGTTTTACTGTACGGAGCTAAAATTTGGTGAACTACTACAGACATCTCGAGAAAGTCATCACCCTACAACACGAGGCAAGCCCTGGCTTGGGATTTCGAGGGGAAAAAGAAAAGAGGCAAATAAAAAACACATTGTGTCGGGAATCGGAGACAGACGTCGAAATGATGACTAGGACTTGGTAACAACCAGATAAGAGAGTCCAGGAGAGAGTTGATTGGAGTATCCTGGTCAGCGGCCTATGATTCACAAATGGTAACAGGCGTAAGTAAGTATGACATTATAGAAAT